TGTCCCTCACTTCAGCAGAGAAAGCAGGAAATGAGGCCAGAGGAGAACCTGTACTTAAAGACTCTGGTAGATTTTCTAAGTGTGATGACAAATCTTTGGAGAGCTTTGAGCAGGGGAGTGATGGTATCCAGTTTTTGCCACAGGCCACCCAAAAATACTTCATTGTTACTTTTATATTTTGCCTTCATTATTTTTTTTTAAAAAGTCTATCTGAAATTCATTGTAAATCCAAGTGTTTTAGTGCACCCCAAATCATTAACTAATTTCTCTGCCAGTTGAAGTAGCATTTTTAAATATTCTTATGTCTCATAGGTTTTCTTTATATGTTTTGATGTAGCATTTTTTAATATTCTTATGTCTCTCACAGGTTTTTTTTATGTTTTGATGTATTGACTATCTAACAAAGAATTGTTCCTTTGTAGGATCTGGTGATTATAGATAATAACAATATTTTGTATACTTGAAAATTGATGAGAGTAGATTTTAAAGTATTCTTACCACACCCACAAAAAAGGATGGGAGGTCATGCATATATTAAGTAGCCCCATTTAGTCATCCCACAATGTATGCCTATTTCAGAACAACATTGACTACATCATGAATACAGTCAATTTTGTTCAATTAAAAATAAATTTTAAAAATTGTTTTCATTTTCATCATAGATTATACTTTTTCATTGTAAAATGAACTATATAATCTACCTTAATGCACTATTTCCCTATATCATTGTATCTGACATGTATATGGTAAAGTGATAAACAAAAGTAGGTAAAATTCCAGGGTGATATAAAACAAAACATTAAAACATTTTCATCTTGGAGAAATGAGATCCCAATTCTTTTTTTCTTTTATATGACTTAAAACAATTTTTTGACCGCTCTATTGATTCTCTAATGATTTGTCTAAATATTTTAAGAAAGCAACCAAGATTAAAAGCTGTTCTCCACACACCCCCTCCCCTGCCTCATTTTCTCTAGGCTATATCCTAGGTCCTTTTAATAGGTTCTAAGGCAAGTCTAGGTGTGTTAAAGTCAACACGCACACAGGACAGTGATGCCTTGAATGGAATAGCTGGTCAGAGTGGAGATTCTCTTCTCTAGCTTCACTTTGAGTCCTGTCCACGTTGGGCACTGTATTTATCTGCAGGATCCAATAGAGATCCCCCATGTTGACATGAGGAAGAGGAAGAGAAAGACACACCCCTTCTCTGTCCTGGCTTAGATGGTGCAAACCAGTTCCACCCACAGCGCATCAGATGCCACCTAGACACGTGGCCAAATTATAGGCAAGAGACTCTGAGATGGACAGTCTTCAGGTGGGTGGCCATGTATCCAGCGAGAAGCCCACTGCTGTAGAATGGAAGGACAACCTTAGGGGGTGACCGTGAATGTTTCCTAGAGGCTTGAGTAGGCCGGAGTATTTCCCAAATCCTGTCTTAACTGTGGAAACCGCCTGGAAAAGGAGTGCAGGAAACAGAAGGGAGAAGAGAGGAGGCCGTGTGAGATTGAGTCAACACTACTGTCGCCTCTTTTGCTCCATGGGACCCTTTTCTGAGATCCTTAAGACCTTCCATCGCATCTCTATGCCCATGGGTTTCC